TTTGTCAATAGCAAAACAAAGGAGAGGAGAAAGTTGAATCCTATTGAGTTATGACTCTTATGCACATAACGTAACTTTATTAACTGTACTCCATTTATATATTTTGCATATATTTCTAAAGCTTAAAATTCTCCTCCCGTTCTTGGTTTTTGTCATGAGATAACAGCCGTTAATTAATTCGATTGCTGAGAACTAGAGTATGTTTATAGCCTTGACGAAATTCTCGAATTTTGAAATTCTAATTTGAAAAAAATTTCATATCCGAAAGAAAAAATATACTACTAGTTATAAATTATAACTAACTATAATATGCACATATCAGTAGAAATAACGTGTAAGTACAAAACCTATCTAATCTTTAATACTAAAAAGTTCAGCGTAGAAAAAAGAGAGTTTAAGTTTTATGTAAAAAATATTTACTTAATCATATCATGTTGAGGTAATTACAGGTGAATCTCAATTCAAATACTTCACTCGGAGCATATTGGAAGTTAATGACTGGAAAACAACTTCTTCGCAGGGAATATAATGGTGATTCCCATGTCGTGATCAAAGCCAAATTCTTCCTCTGCGCAACGAAGGAGGCACTGAAACTCGGGAAAGAAATTGGTACGACGTATCGAGTTTGATTTTCTCCCACGTAAATGCAAAATGTCCTTTAATGGGAAGTCCATATTCTTCATCATAATAATTATCCTGCTTCTTACCCAAACTCGAAAACCTTTTCATAATTTGCTTCAAAACTACAGCTTGTGGTAGCAAGTTTGATATTTTGATGGCCATTTTGTTGGGGGGTGCGAACAAAGTACCACATTGGTAGCTGAAAAGATTGGGAGTCTACATATAAAGTGTACGGATCTCTTAATGGTGTGAGGCCTTTTGGGAAAAACCGTGCGGGCTTGGCCCAAAGCGGACAATATCACACCATGTTAAAAGTGTCATTGGGCCATTTTAGCCCAACACATTTTATCTATTTTCTTCAAGAAGAAGATATTAAGACAGTCCTTGTGCTTGGAGGGAAAGAGATATGCTATTGAAGAAGAGGTAGTGTTTGGGATAGAGGGATATGTATGAAGCTATTTAAGGAGGAAGACAACGAATTTTTAATCCTGTTGTATGATTATTTTGTGGTATCACAATAAGAAAATGAAGGAGTTTTCAAGGGATTAGAATCTATGAGATATTGAACAAACACAATTAGTTCCCTTAGTTCTAGTATTTGTATGTCATTCTAGTTTGTTTTATCAAACAAGTTGAAACCCAACTATATATTTTGGGTTGAAGTGTAGTCCTACTTCTAGGCAAACTTTGGAAAGTTGGGTAATTTCTTGGTGGAGTTGAAAGATTCACTACAATTAAATAAGCCCATTTATTCTGTGAGATTATGTACTGTCCAAAAATTCTTTGCAACCTTCATTTTCAATTTTTCTACATTCTTAATTATCTTTGTTTCTGATGAAACCAACGTATTTGTAAAAGAAATAAACATAGATTATATGGACTTTGTTGATCAAGAGGTAGGCAGCCAAGAGCCAACACCTTGATAAATGATACTTGGAAGATACTAATACAATATTTTAATCAGTTTCATTAATTCCTCGAAAGAATTGATGCCATTTACAAGAAATTACCAGTCAATTCTTGCTGTTTAGGATTATTCTAATAATATTTGAATCGATGGGTTGTTCTTGCAAAACGGAAGTACAGAGGAAATTTGATATTTACGATGTGACAAAAATGCAAATAAATTAAGTTGGTGCATAAAAACTACTCCTACTCTATAAATGTTATTCCCTCCGGTCCAAAATAAGTGATTTTTTGTTCTTCTTCTTGTGGTCCAAAATAAGTGATTTTTCCAGATCTCAAGAATGAATTAATTATTTTTTTCCTACTTTGTCCTTGAAGTAAATGGTGTTGGAATATGTGTTAGGAGTGTTTATGTGAGATAGTAAAGGTTAATATGGTCAATTCCATAGTTAATTAATGCTAAAAGGTGGATTTCTTAATTTGTGTGAAAACATCCAAAAAAATCACTTATTTTGGACCGGAAAGAGTAATAATACACTAATCGAAAGAATACATCTATGATGCCACGTACAATAAATTACCAGTCAATTACGGAGTAGCATTTTTTTATTTTGAATATAGAAAAATGAGGTTTATACTTGAAAAAAGTACCCACTTGTTTGCACTTGGATTATTAAAGGAAAATTCAGCTGTACAGAATCAACATTAATTTAGTAACCACAGTAATATACGATAAAACCAATGACAAGAAGTATTGTCCTTGTTTTGATATAAAAAAAATATTGTTGGTGCGAGACGCAGAAATCTGGAATTTTTAGGTTGTAAAATTTTAAGATCGCAATCGAAAGAATAATATAATATACACATTGCATTAATAACTCTTATTAATCTGTTTGGTTTGCTTTATCAAAATGGTTCTGCAGATAACCACTTTAGTCTTATTATAGCGTCTTAACAAAAATTGAGAATGACCTATATATACGCCTATTTTTAGTTTAAGCGACTAAGTGAACGACTATTTAGGTTAATTTCTTAATGCTTGTTTAAATTATATAACAAATTCATGTAAAAGTTAATTATTAGAGAAATGCATTTTTATTAATTTAATCATGTTTACGAGTAGGGGCCTTAGAATGTCAATTCATCTACTTTGAAACGGCTAGTAATAAATACAACCAATTCGAACCCCTATCATTTAATACTATAAAATATAAGTCAGTAATTTAGGAACTAGGACTAGGGGTGTGCATTCGAATCGGTTTATCGATAAATCGAATCGATTATTTGTTATCGGTTTATCGATTTATCGATTTCGATTTCGATTTCAAAATTTTTCTTATCGAGTTATCGATTTTGATTTCGATTTTGCCCTCTTCGGTTTATCGGTTTATCGATAAACCGATAAGAAATACAAAAAAAATAAATTAATTTTTTTTTTTTTTTTCTATAATACCCTTTCCTTTACCCTAAGTCCCTAACCCTATTATTTCATCTACAACATTTAAGGAATGATCATATTTAAAGCTCAAGGGAATGAAGTTCAAATTAATGGAAAATAGAATTAGCCGTGATGATGTATTTTTTTTATACCGTAGGAGTGTTGGTGGCATACATTTGATCCCTTAATTTAGTTTCGTTGCATGTGCTTGTTGACACAATTTTTATGTTATAAACGGTGTTCGTTCTTATTTTAGCTTCTTTTGGTCCATATTAGTTAGGCGTGTTTTTAGTAATATACTTTCCGTGGAATCCCGTAAATTTTCTTATTGGTGTAATCGATAACCGAATCGATAAGCCCCAAAAATCGATAAATCGAAATCGAAAAAATCGAAACCTTATTGAAACGATAACGATAAGCATATGTACAAATCGATAATCGATAAGTAATTATCGATAAGGATCAAAATCGAATCGATAAATCGAATGAACACCCCTAACTAGGACAAGTCAGTATATGTAGAAACTAGGACGGTTTTACCTTGTCTGTACACTCAATATAAAAAGGATTATAGCCTAAAATAAAATACAGAAATTGGGGAGTTTTTGACAGTTTATTGCATATCTACAATTTTATAGATTGATGTTCAATGTGATTTGATAGTATCAAAAGTTATCAAAAAAATGGTAGATGCAGTATTCGTTTTTTAAATTTGCCAAAGGAGCGTCAATTACACGGTATATGAAAGGAAAATATTTTCCAGAAAATGTTTTTCAATTTTCCCATGTTTGGTTGGCTTAAATATTTTAGAAAATATTTTTCATATCAACTCATTTTCCTCCAATTGGAGGAAAATATTTTCCTTATCAAGAGAACGGAAAACATTTTCCAAAACTCCTTCTCAACCTTCCCCACCCTCACCAACTCACCCACCCCCTCTCTCCAAAAAAATGCTTTTTCTTTTTTTTTAAATTTCAGTTTTTCTGTTACCACCCACCACTACTACCCCTCCACTCCACCCTCACACCCACCCCGCAAAAAAATAAATTTGTTTACCTTTTTTTTTTTTTTGCAATTTCAAATTTCTGTTTTTGCATTTCTCTGCACCACCCATCCCCACCCCCCCTCCCCCCAAACTAAAAAAAAAAGTTCTTTTTTTTGTAATTTCAAATTTCTATTTTTTTCGTTTTTCTCCCCCCACCCCACCCCCCACCCCTCCTCCCGGAAAAAATATTTTTAAATATATTTTTCAGTTTTAGTTTTTTTTTTAATTTAGCGGTTTAAAGGTTCAAAATTTTACAAGTTCCAAAGTTACGAGTTCGGAGGTTTATGTGTTTGAAAGTTTACGAGTTCAAAATTCCGCGGTTTCGAAAGTTTAGCGATTCGAAAGTTTATGAAATTTGTGGATTCGAAAGGTTGTTGGTTTGAAAGTTTATGGCTTCATGTTTATTATATCTAAATTATTTATGAATAATTTTGAGAAGTCATTTCCTTAATTTGCGTACCAAATACCGAAAAATGAATAAAATTACTACTTATTTTCCAAGAAAACATTTTCTTGAAAAACATTTTTCACACGTAAAACATTTTCCGTTATACCAAAACACACCCTTTATATCTACGGTGACCATTCATTTGTATTGTCATTTACTTTGATTAGCTAGAAATTTGGAGAACATAACATGGACACTGTAATTACTAATAGATCACAAATCAGACCATTCTTGTAGCGCTTTTTTATTTTTAGACCGCGCTAGAAATTATTTACATTTCGTAGCCAAAAAATATGTAAAAGTTGTGTAATTTTTGTTTGTATATACATATATATATATATATATATATATATATATATATATATATATATATATATATATATATATATATACATAACATAAATATTTTTTGACTATTATTTTGAGAGCGGCTATATAGTGTCATTTGCTCAATTCTATTTTTCCTAAATTTCATAGTATTGAAGATGCCGTAAAAATGCAAATAATTGACTAAGAGACATTTGTATCGAAAAAATGGCAAATCGATTGAGATACATTCACTTCTCTCACAGGGCGCAACAAAACACCACTGCAAGGAAAAATTTCCAAGATTTGTTTACAAATCTGATTCTGACCCATAAAAAACACTACTAATAATATCATGTGGTTCCTAGGTCAGAGTTAGAGGAAAGTTACAAAACAAGAAAATACCCCTAACCCAAAAAAAAAAAAAAAAAAAAGGAGACACCCCAAAAAATGAAAAAAATAGAGTGAAGAAAGATGTTAGAAAAAAGAGAAGCAAAAATACACCAAATTGCTTCATCTTGAGCCATCCTTCTTAACCCTAAAAGAGAACTAACCCCTAATATTCACTTTTTTTTCTTTTCTTTTCTAAATACGTCAAAAAAGGTAGTTTTGACGTAACTGGTAAAAATGTGACTAGGACGTCACGGGTTTAAGCCGTGAAAATAATCTCTTGTACAATAGATCGTTGTAGTGGTCCTTCCTCGGACCCCGCACATAGTGGGAGCTTAGTGCACCGGGCTGCCCTTTTTTCTAAATACTTCAGCACCGGATCATAGAAGTCAGTGATTGGAATACAAATTCTTCACATGGAATGGTAATGCCCATGTCGTGATCAAATCCAAATTCTTCCTCGGCCTGTTGGAGGAGGCATTGAAACTGAGGGTGAGTTAAGAAAGAAATTGGTACGACGTATCGAGTTCGATTCTCCCCTACGTAAACCGCAAAATGTCCTTTTGGTACGTCAATAGGAAGACAGTAATCTTCGTTGTCATAGCCTTGCTTCTTACCCAAACTTGAACACCTCTTCAAAATTTGTTTCAACACTGTAGCTTGTGATAACTTGTTTGATTTTCTAATGGCCATATCGTAAAAAAAAAAAATTGTGATGAAATATAAAGAAAGTTAGAGCTTTAGCAAGAAAGAAGATGAAAGAAGTGGTGTTTGGGCTATAGGATGTGAAGCTATTTATTGAGGAATACCAAAAGTTTTTTACTTTTTATTTTGTTGTACTTTCTATTTTAAAATTTTAATCTTTTTTAGTAGTTGGTGTGATAGGAAACTGCAAAGGACAGAGCACGGGTATTTTCGACAAGGTGTAGGAGAGGAACAAGGACAAGGTGGGGGCCAAAGCCCATAGGGTTTTACGGCTCTATGTTGGTTCTCATTATGGCAAAGAGGACCCTTTTCTTTATGGTGAAGTTCTAACGGGGCATTTGCATCTATATTCATTTTTTGGATTACGTTTTAACTTGTTCTCGCTTTGAAAAAAATTACAAGCGTACCCACTTTTTCGCGTAACTTCAGCATACGGGCCTGAAGTAGCAAAGGCAATCACGCAAACTTCAGCATTCTAGTAATCGGGTCTGAAGTAGCAAAAATTGCTGAACCAAATGTGCTGAAGTTTTTGTTTGTAATTGCTGAACTTAAGCATTCTAGTGCTGAAGTTTTGTTCTTTATTTGCTGAAATTTTTATTTGTAATTGCTGAACTTAAGCATTCTAGTAACTGCAATTTTGTGATGGTGAAGTTATTTAGTTCATTTGTAAAAACTTCAGCGCTAAATAAGCTGAAGTTTTTTTATCTTGGATTCATTAGTTTTGTCATAAAGCTTTTTCAAAAACTTCAGCAGAAGATGCTGAAGTTATTTAGTTCATTTGTAAAAATTTCAGCACTAAATAAGCTGAATTTTTTTATCCTGGATTTATTAGTTTTGTCATAAAGCTTTTTCAAAAACTTCAGCAGAAGATGCTGAAGTTATTTAGTTCATTTGTAAAAACTTCAGCACTAAATAAGCTGAAGTTCTTTTGTCCTGGATTCATTAGTTTTGTCATAAAGCTTTTTCAAAAACTTCAGCAGAAGATACTGAAGTTATTTAGTTCATTTGTAAAAACTTCCGCACTATATAAGCTGAAGTTTTTGAAAAAGCTTTCTAACATACTAGATAAATAATCACCTTATTCTTTCATAGTGTATTACTACTATAAAATAATCAGATTGCCAACAGTATCTAAATCATAAATTTTGGAAACAATAAACGTGAAAAGAACAGAATTATCTTGAAAAGAATCACTAAGTGTGACCTTAAACTTCCCGTAGTGGAAATATTTATAAATTATTATCTACTAACGTACGTAATTATTTATAATTTGTTTTTAAATAATCTGATAAACATACTTATGGTAATCATCCCATAAACTGAAGTTTCATAGCAGCACCAACAACAGCAGAAGAAAGAAGAAGAGAAGAAGAAGAAGAAGAAGAAGAAGAAGAAGAAGAAGAAGAAGAAGAAGAAGAAGAAGAAGAAGGAGGAGGAGGAGGAGGAGGAGGAAGGAGGAGAAAGGGGGCTGAAGTTGTTTAAAAAGTGGG